GCTTTTCAAGAGCATGTTCAGTGCATTGATCGTAGCCTGGTTCTCTTCGGTTTACCTGGTCTATCGCACATTCAGCCCTGTGACCTACGGGGAGCCCTCGCTGTCTGTTACTGAACTCAAGGACTTGCGCTGGAAGGACAGCTGGAACATCCTTCTCCGAAAACAGTAACAATTAAAGTCTTGTTACAGGCAGAAGGAAACACCTTTTATGCAAAGCCAAGGATTTATTGTTAGTATAACTGAAGTCTTAACAGTCTGACCAAATAATTGGTAGTAGTCCAGATTACAGGAAAATAAAAGAACAGTGTTACAGAAAATGTCTCAACAGTAATAGAGCTGTTACGAGCACAGTTCCCAGTCTCTACCCCCATTACATCACCCGCCGTCTCTCGGGGTCTGAAGGTTGCTGACTTCCATCAGCAGCATTCCAGGTGATTTGCTGGGAAGAGCATGCTGCAGGGGTTTCTTCCTCCTCGTTCCTGGGAGCGTGGTGTTGATGGTGCCTTCTTGCACTACAATGCACTTAGGGCTATTTTATATGTTTCCTAGCACCTTGGTCTGCAATTCCGGGTTACAAGTTACTATAAGTGGGTACTTTCTAGTGTACCAGATTCATTTCTCTGTTTTGTTACTCCTAAAAACTGGGTTTTCCCAGCTCTAAACCTTACACATCTTTAACTATCAGTAACTGGCCCTGCAGTCTTCAGCACCATCCCATGACTATATTCCTCAACAACACATTATTTGCTCCCACTTTACATGCTCTGCTGTCATCCCTGTTTCATTCAATTGCAGCATTCAGCGAAGTTTATAAATAGTTAATTCTGCATAGAATAATGATACTGTTATCTATGTATAATCATTTGGCATAACCATAATTTTTATGAAGCTAACCAAAAATAAAACAAATAGACATTAACAAATTGTTGTTACAGCTAAACAAGCTAAAACAAAGCTTCAGGCACGCCAAGAAGTCAGCCAAAGCCAGAAGAACCCCTTGGCCTTGCGGTGCTCAGGCGAAGCCTGTTACAGCAACGGCAGTGCTGTGTTTACTGGGCTGCAGGTTACACCTCAGACCTCAGAGGAACTCTGTGCAAGGTGGAACTGACCACACTGCCAAAAGAAACCTGCTCTAACTTGTACACACGGGTTCAGGATAACATTGTGGGCAACTCAGCCCAGCAGCAGCAGAGGCATTCCCAGGGGAGGAAAAGGAGCAGGGGAAGGACTGGGATCGCTCAGTGGGGAGTCTGTAATGTAACACGGGTTGTAGTACCTACGCCACAGTGTGTTTTTTTCTTTTATGTAGCTGCAGCAGGATCTTGCAATACAGCTCAAAGCTGACTAAGATCAGCAGTTCTAGACAGACCAGGGTGTTTTTTACCACACGAACAAACGCTATTCGAGGCTGCTTGGAGCGCCCTGCCGGCCCTCCCCCCCCCTCCCCAGAGGAAGGTATGGTCAAACACCACAGTCATTAAAAGTAGCTTTTAGTGACTATTTTGCTCCTGCTGAAATCAGCCCCGACAGCTAATGCTTCACTGCAGTAGCTCATACTCCAAGTCTGTCACCCTGAGCTAAACAGCACCCAGCAGCAGTTAGGAAATGAACTGCTTTCTCCTTGGCACTGCAGACACCACTGAGCTGTGGTCAGTAACAGATAACGAACCTTTACCCATTTCCAGTGTTGAAAAGACCAGAAAGATAACAGTGCATACTGCATTTTTGAAGCTTTTTTTCTCTAAAGCTTCAGCCATTACAGAACTAAAGCTAACAATTCTGAGTTAAGGGGAGAAAGACCTGCTGAGTATCAGAGCATCGCCAGAAGTGTTCCTTTCTGTACCTTTGTGCTGGTGTAGTGCAAGGAGCACAAATACCTTTTGTGTAAAATGGTCATTTCCGCTCACTGTTTGTTCATTTGTTTATTAGCCAAAGTAACACACCCACAACCAACACAGCCAGACCCTGGTTTTAGAAAACTAGCAAATATTAAAAAGTTCCGCTTAATAGCATGTGTCCCCCACACCCAGTTTTAAAATTACACCGTAAGTTCAGACTCAAGGATACCACAAAGACATTGTCAGAGGCCCAACTGGCACGGCATTTCAGATTCTTCACACCC